TGGGTCGGGGTGGGGTGCGGGGGGGTAGTGTATGGTTAGAGGGCTCTAGGGGTTAGGGCTGCCATTGGGGGCTCATGGGCCTCCAGAGCAGCTGCGAACAGCTGAGGGGGAGTGGGGGTGTAGGAGTTAGGGCTGACACTGGGGGGCTCTAGAGGCCAGGGCTTTTGGTGGACTGGTGACATTTTTTGCATATTCAGTATTTCCAGAATGAATATGCAAATAATGTTACTGGTCCACCAAAAGTTTGAGAATGAGTTTGCTGGTACGAGGTATAAAAAGGTTGGGAACCACTGGGTTAGGACTAACATTCCATTGTGATTACCCAGACACCCCAAGTGATGTCCTTCTAGAGTCCCCTTGCAAGTCTATAATTTAAACATATATTTTATTAATTTTAAGCACAATTTAATGTAAGATGTGTATCTACATCTACTTGACTGCTTGAAAATCTCATGGGGCTGGAGTCTGGATTTTTCTGGCCAAATAGGAACTGCTATATGTGTTGTCTCTTTTGCTGGTACAATTTATTTTGGCTTAAGATCAAATCTGGTAAGACTGAGTTTGATTCAGATTCTTGATCCACATTTTTGTGATGCAACACCATGCATTGACAACATTTTTTTTGGTGCCCTAGGAGCTGCTACATTTCTTTTTTCTATTTACACAGTCGAATGTGAGGGTTGGAATGCAAAATTGGCAGGATCCAGGTGCCAGATGTGCGTGTTCCAGTGCTGCTGGGGCCAGTATCCCAATTATTCCAGTAATATGGGACAGGCTGCACTTGCTGACTCTTTTGATTGAACAATTTGGGTCTTGGGGCCAAAAGGTGCAAGGATCTATCTTAATCCGGGATTTTTCAGTACTTCTGCTGTAGGGTGCATCTTTGGATTTTTTGGTCAGTCAATGGCTATGTCTACACTGGCCCCTTTTCCGAAAGGGGCATGCTAATTTCACAGGTCGTAATAGGGAAATCCGCGGGGGATTTAAATATCCCCCGCGGCATTTAAATAAAAATGTCCGCCGCTTTTTTCCGGCTTTTAGAAAAGCCAGAAAAGAGCGTCTACACTGGCCCCGATCCTCCGGAAAAAAGCCCTTTTCCGGAGGATCTCTTATTCCTACTTCAAAGAAGGACACCAGGGGTGGGACAAGTGCTTATTCAAAGTAGGAATAAGAGATCCTCCGGAAAAGGGCTTTTTTCCGGAGGATCGGGGCCAGTGTAGACGCTCTTTTCCGGCCTTTCTAAAAGCCGGAAAAAAGCGGCGGACATTTTTATTTAAATACCGCGGGGGATATTTAAATCCCCCGCGGATTTCCCTATTATGACCTGTGAAATTAGCATGCCCCTTTCGGAAAAGGGGCCAGTGTAGACGAGCCCAATGTGTGTGTCTGTGCTTATTTTCTAGTCACACCATGGAGTGTGTGTGTGTTGTGTTGTGTGTGTGTGTGTATGTGTGTGAAGCAGGGAGATGGAATGGATCCATGTGCCAGGTTTGGGATGTTATGATGAGCTTGCTCCAGTATGTGCCAGAATCCAGAAATTGATGCTATAGGAACGACTGTATTTGTTTTGTATTTCAACATTAGAATTTGGGCTTGGGGCCAAAATTTGTGTGGAGTCAGTAGAATTCAGGTGCTGGATCTGGGTTTTTTAGGAGCTGGGCTTTTTATGTTGGAGGGTGTGTGTGATTTTTGTCGGCTCAATAAGAAAGGGATACACTTGTGTATTTTTAGGGCTTGTTCTCACACATCAGCAGGCTCCACCAGAGTGCAGGTAGATCCAGGTTTTACCTTTCTCCCTTTTAAGAGAGCAAGGCTTAGACGTTTCCTGTCTGTGAAGTGGTGCAGTTTATCTTTAAGGAGGCTAGAGAAATAAGAAATGAGTCTCACGTTGCATGGGTGACATCACTGGCTTTTGGCTCAGTGCTCTGTATTCTCTGTCTGTAGGCTTTAGCCAAGGCTGCAGGGCTGAGTGTTTGAACAAGGAATGATTCCCAGATGTACAGAGGATTGGATTCGCTCTTATTTGGGTTGAAAACGGTGAAATGAGATTTCTAAAGCTCGCGGAGTCCATCTCGCCTTCCGTGACTCCCGATCTCAGCGGGATGGGTGAGTTATTCCCGCTAGAAAAGAAGGGAATGGAAATTTAAGTAAAAACATGTCTGAATATATTATGCTGACGCTGGAGCTAGAAATCGCATGAAGCTGCTGAGCTCGAGATCTTGGTTCCTGTGTGGAGATCAGGCCCATATGACAGAGAAATGGTGCAGACCGAAAGCTGTTGACAACTGTTAGTGGCTGTTTTCCTCTCTTCCCACCTCCCTTAGGTTGGTTGTTTTTTCCCTACCATTCTTTTAACCAGCCCTAGCCCTGCCTGCCCGCCTTCATTTTGCAGATGGAAAAGGTGCCTGTGCATTAAGAAAGCCCTGCCCAGCGAATTGAAGCCCTGGCGGAAAAAGGACGCTTGGGTACCACAGGAGGGGAAATAAAGACTGGGATCTAGGACTGCTTTCATTGCTATCAGAAGGAAGCGGGCACGGTCCATGGTGCTGAACCCTGCATCTTTTCCAACCCTCACTTGTCCCGGGCACCGGCTGCGTTACTGTAGATGCGAGAGCAGAGCCCCGGTGCGGTGGGTAAGTCGCGGCTCTCCAGCCCCAGCCAGCCACGGGAAGAAATCGCCCCACTCCCTTGCCTTCATGACAGCCCCGCCGATAGCCTCACACACCTAGTGAATGGGACTGAGGCGGAGGCGGGCTTGGAACAAAGATGTCAGTGGCTGCACACACCGCCGTGGAGTCTGCTAATGGAAAGACGCCTGCGAGCCTGGATCGCTAATTAGGGGTGGAGGGAATTGCCCCAGACCAGGGATTGAAATTAAAACGCCTCGTTTCCCTTCATGACAGCCCCGCCGATAGCCTCACACACCTAGTGAATGGGACTGAGGCGGAGGCGGGCTTGGAACAAAGATGTCAGTGGCTGCACACACCGCCGTGGAGTCTGCTAATGGAAAGACGCCTGCGAGCCTGGATCGCTAATTAGGGGTGGAGGGAATTGCCCCAGACCAGGGATTGAAATTAAAACGCCTCGTTTCCCCCTCCGGCCCTGCTTTAAACCCTCCAGCCGGTGCGCGGCGCGGGCCGCTGACAAAGAAAAGGCAAGTCCTTGGTTCGGGCGAGCAAGATGCGGGCTGCCCGGCGGCAGCCGCTTTCCCGCCGCTGAACTTTCCTCTCCTGCCCTCTGCTCC